CTCTGTATATATACTAGGGATTGTCATCCGCTTGGCATGCATCGCCTGCGCTCGTGATAGCCCCAGATAGCAATACCGGGGCCAGCCAACCGGCCATTGAGTAATGGGGATACATAAATGCAGGATAATGCTCTGATGTCTGGTCTTTGCGTCCTGCCCGGCTACTGTTGGTCTGGGTTTTGGTGGAGACTTCGCCTTAGGACACTTCACAGCACCCCATGATCCGTCGCCCGGCCAGATCGAGCACTCATGGGTATATGCACATGACTCCCCCATGAGGGCAGCTCAGGTAGTGGTACTTGTTCCATTTGCGGCACGCCTCTTCTGAGTGAAAGTGTGGGCGAGGTTTCTTTGATGGGGGCCCCGGCTTTGCCAGTGGCCTCTTCTTTGAACCGAGGTGTTCGTCTTGGAGCGGTAGGGGCACGTTGTTTGGTGTGGTCCATGGACGTGCAGATGGAGCACCAACCCTCCGCGCTCAGCGACATCCCCGTTGAAGCACTGGGTATGGATGCTGCTGTCAATGTTCGAACCGTCCTGTCCTGCCAGTGTCTGCTGGCCTCTTGGCGAAAATACTGGTCATATATTATCCAAGCTGGCCAGCGAAACTTCTTGCTCAGACGTGCGATTTATGGCCGCGTACATCAGCAATGATTGGGCCCTTTCTGGATGTTTGGTTAGCAGGACCAGCCGAGTATATCGCTAGCACTGCACCCACTGCTCACAGCCGTAGCAAGGTCGGGGATGTGCCTTCTTGAGTGGACATAGTCCCCCTGCCTGGAGCAGTAACAATTTTGCCCTCTACGTCACTCGATAGGGCCGCTGGAGTTTTACCAAAGCCTCTGGCCGGGGGAAGTTCCCCTAGGTCTGTGAATCTTCCCGCCAGGATCAAGTCCACCAGGGACCGCTTTAAGGCCGGGACTCCTGGGGCCACCACAATGGTGTCCATTGCTTTGGAACTGCCCGCTGCTCCTGCCATAGCTACACCCATGGCTGCTGGTTGCATTCCACCCGCCAGTATACTTGAGAGTGTGGTGGAGGCTGGTGTAGTTATTGCGCCATGGACTGGAAGTCCCGCTGTACCAGCTGAGGATGGCTGCAGGGGAGTGGAGCTGGTACTTGGGAAGCTCCCAAGCCCCAAGCTGCCCAAAATGCCACTAGTGGGCATGGTGCCCAGTCCTCCTGCTCTTGCCCCTACAGGATGGGAATAAGGGGGGGCAGTAAGGACTTCTGAGGATGGTATGTGCCGTACTTAAGGCGCTGCAGCCCGAGTGAGTGGGGTTTGGCCGACCTTTGACTATAGTGCTGGTCTGCCGTTACACTGCAGTAGTGCCCCCAAATGCAGCCGTGCGCTGCTAGAGCATGGCTTTGAGCCCAAGAGCTTTGGATTGCTGTGGCACTGACCGCCCTCAAGGTCCGAGGGGCCGTGTATAGCTTAGACCAGCACTGCCCCCTTTGGGGAGCTTGGTCTGCAGTAGTCTGTCACCAGCTCTGCCCTGGCTTGAGGCCCTTGTTCCAGGCCAGCGTCTACTTCAGATGCAGAGCCAGGCTGCCTTCCATGACACGCCCCCAGGAGCTTGGTCTTATAGTCTGCTTTAGGCCAGCAGGTGATATGGTGGGCTTATCAGCCCAGCTGAGTAAGTATGGTATGCACAGCCCCGCCCCCTGCCACGCCTTGCTGGAGTGGAATGGCAGGTGGACATGACTGATAAGGCAGGCTTTGATTGCTTAGCAACCTGCAACCTGTGCCACTGTATTTTGCCCCGAGCTTGGTCCCGTCTATTCTGGCAGGTGCTGAGCGAGCCCTACACACTGCCGTACTATAACTATATTGGAATGCCCAGACTAACCCAGGGTAGCCCTCCGTTCATCCGCATATGTCACATTCCGGGGAATGGAGGGTGGAGAGGGACTGGGCTACCCTAGAGTTTCTAAAGGGGAACCTACCCACAGACGACGCTGGAGTCCCTGGCGTCGTGAAGGTGCTCCCTCCTGCACTCGCCGCGACCGCTGCCTGTATGCGTGCGTCCACGGACGCCATGATGCGGGGCAGCGAGCTGGAAACGGCGGCCTGGACCGCCTGGTCCAGCATCGACTGGAACGAGGTGGCGGAAACAGCTGCTGGTGCCGTTGAGGAGGTAGTAGGCGGCCGACCGGAGGTGAGGATCGTCGATGTAGAACCGGATCCCGGCGTTGTCGTGCTCGTGGTCCCGCTGGACGTAACTGGTGCACCCGACGATGCCATCTCCCTGATCCAGCCGTGAAAATTGCGTGAAAATTGCTCAGCTACCGGATATGCTAGGAAATAGTGCTGACTAAGACCACGAGGCCGACACCTTTGCGCATGCGGCCTTCCTAGAACATTGTGACCTGCTTCATGCTGTTAACCCCATTTAATCTACTAATTGCGACAAGAAATATGCTCGAGCGCTGCCACGCCTCTCTGCGCGCGTATAATTATACGTTCGTGCGTGCAGAAGTAGATAATGAAGAGGCGGAACTATTCTCGCCGTATGCCGTATACAGAAACCGTAGCGAAAATACTACGTAATAGTTACTAGTAGGCGAATGCATGGCATTTTTGGCGAGCGGAAGCGCGCTTACAATTGGGGTCTAATCGTATGAGTCACTCTTGTGTGTGCACAAAACAGTGAGATACATTGCACAGGACCAAGTAGGCCGAAACGACCCGAGCGCAGTAGACAATTCGAGTGGAGTCAAAAACAGTCAGTCGACAGCGCGAATCAGGCATAATCCGGCAATCTGATTGGTCTTGCAGGAATAGGGAACAAGTGGCAATGTAGAAAAATCTCTCGCTGGACTGTGCAGCAATACTCGATAGCTTCGGAGGTGTTGCGTTTCCCCTGATTCCGCTCGATTCAGGCAGCAATATGAAAATGTTGAAATCCCTTTCGGATAAAAAGAAGCGCGTAATGCTGGAGCATGCGCAGTTGGACGACGTTCGGGTACATATATATACAAGTGGAAAAATCATTTCTTCAAAATGAAAGGGGGATATAGGGATGGCTTGAAGCACCAAAAAGGAACAAACAAGGGGTCATTACACGGCAAAGTTGCACAAAGCTACATGACACCATCCCTATATCTTTGTTTTATTGTTTATAAGCAAACTCTTTCCCTTGAGCTAAATATACATGCAAGACAACCTCTATTGCAGAGCCGTATAACAACAAAGATATAGGGATGGTGTCATGTAGCTTTGTGCAACTTTGCCGTGTAATGACCCCTTGTTTGTTCCTTTTTGGTGCTTCAAGCCATCCCTATATCCCCCTTTCATTTTGAAGAAATGATTTTTCCACTTGTTTCCACTATTTTTAACTGCTTATGACAACACTGCATTTTCAGTCACCTGATGTTCATGGGTATGTTGTAGAGATAACTGATGAAAGCAGTAGCTAATGGGCTGCTGCGCCTGAAGCGGGGATGTACGCGTAGTGTCTCCAGGCCAACAAGGACGCAATAATCAGGTGGTGGCACACGGTGGCGATTTCATGGGCAAGCTTCAGTAATGGTATATAGCTATTAGGATAGCTAAAAGCAAGCTAGCCAGTTAAAAATGTGTATACTGACTTACAGAAGGCACTGGAGGATAAGAGTTCCTCTGCAGGCATCCTGGCTTAGTCTCGTAGACCTGGTTCACGCACGAGAATGCGCGCGCACCGCTTTGGGGAAACGCCCTCCTCGGCGCATGCGGCTCACTGATGCTGAGTTAGCAGCAAAAATGGCGTTGTTCAGTGACTACCGTGGAGGAGCTCAACGATCTACCGCAGTGACTTGCGGCAAGAAAGAGACGATCGCTTGATGTTCGTGCACACCTCTGGCGAATTTGGAAACGTTTGATGGAAAAATCAGCACTTCAACTATTTTCGGTAACGAGATAGCGGGTTTACTGAAGAAGAAACCGGAAGATGAAGAATATGATGATGATGATGACACGAAAATCGTGAAATCGCGTAAGAGCCAATTCTCTCGTGGGGAACTGAGGGCACGTAGGAAGTCTTGGGGAGTATGTATAGCTAGGTATTGGCCTGTAGACTATTGCTAGTGATTTTCAAGCAATGGTGAGTCATTCTCGCCAAGTTTTGAGGCGTTTTGTACGCGGATCACGTGAGATTTCACCCGTGTCATCCTTATATAGAGCGTCTACCGACGCTCTGATATAGAAAAATCGCGCCGTTCGGACCACTAGGTTAGCTCGCTTCCGCTCGCCAATTACACCTTTTGGAGTGCTGTTGCTGGTTTACAAGGCCGACGTCCCGAGGCCTTGTAAACCGCAACAGCACGACAAAAGGTGTGATAATTAGTTTATTGATAGTTGCTAGATGCTATGACGTCAATTGCCGTCGCCTACGCATGCATTTTTGTGGTTTCGCGTCTTCTGCCACGCTTTCTCGTGTGCGGAGCTCCCACTGGCGTTTCTCCTTGCTTTGCGCTCTGTTGCAAGTCATGGCAAAGAGGTCTCGAAGCCCTCTTCGCGTAAGTGTCGATGGGTGAACTTCAGAAAGCGAGGCTGAGGACGATGATCAATCCCGCCCGGGCAAACATTAGGGAAGTAAGTAGAGCCCCATGAGTCAAGAGTACAGTGAGCGATTTAAATTTTTTGCCGGTGCTAAAGTTAAGACGCTGGAAAAGAAATTCGTTCCCAAGAACACGGAAAGTTGCTATGATGCACTTTAAGCGCAGTGCTTATATCGGATATAAGCACTAACCCCGGTGCATATTGTCACCTTAACACCTCGTTGGTGCATTAGCTGATTTATAGTAGCACAATAAACATAGCAACCACCTAGCAACGGTCAATAAGCCGCGGATATCACGCCGTAAAATTAATAGCACCGTTGAGCGGCCAGGGTTTCGTTTTTGTGAGGGTTAGAGGCCCATGTAGCCACGCCTTTTCAATCCGCTTTTGCCATACCTCTTGGGGGGGCGTTCGGCGCGCCGATCTATCTGAGGGTTGAGCCGCAACAAACACTTCGCAAGCCCTGACGGATTCCAGCTCTCTTCAAGTGCTCTTCCCTCGGCTCTTCCGCCCTCCAATCTGGTCAACTCGCTGGAAGGATCTTCAACTTGAGGAGTGGCATAGCTTGTAGTATGCCAGGCTGTCCACTGACGCGGAATCATTTCCAGCCCTGGATGATGGGAGACAGTGCCGGGTACAGCTACTAGTCGTAGACTACACCTCCTCGCAACCATACTGTTTACTATTGAAAGAAGCAGTTCGTGAGGCAAAGGTATAATGTTTGTGTGGCTATAGCTGTAGGCTGTGTATGCCTGGCTGAGATACGCATGGCTACGGTAGCTAATACGGTTGAGTCCTGAGTTTAACATGTGTGTGCCCTGCCAACAATACCACAGTTTACAAAAACACCATAACCACCCTCGTTGAAAGCACTATACACCTCATGTAATTCTATGGTGTCACTCCTAGTATAGCCCTTACTGTGTATACTGCTAATCCAAGGTGTTTTTAGAATTACTGGCTGTCCCACTGACCTCTACCAGCAGTCATGATGTAAGAATAGGCGAGATAGGCGAGACAGCTATGAAGCAATTCCTACACAACTCACCAAGACATTCCTCTTGAGCTACAGACCACACTATACTTGAGGTATCTAATTACTAAGTGCTGCATGATCTTTCTTAAGATTTTACATAACTTTTAGCTGCAATAGCTCAGCCTTCATTACTATTATCGAAATGACTGTGTGTTGATACCTTGAGAATGCTGTCCGTGCTGATTTTTGCAGCGATGCGTGCAAAACCTTCTCACAAACCTTCACAGCTCAGGCTATATAATATACATGCTGCGGGAGCCGTGTTTGGTCCACAATGTTGTAGAACTGGCTTACAACGATCTGAAACTGGTTGTGCCCTGGTCTCTGTTCACCAGTGTTTGTGGGCTTGCCAGCATGATGTGTACAACTTCTTTGGTTGTTGTTGTCCTGATGTCTTGTCCACCATGTGGTTCGTGTTAGTGCTCCAAACAGGCTCGTTGTGCTATGGGCGATTTGTCTACCTCTTCCCGTCAGGTGGCTGTCTTTTGTTCCTTCAGGCGGGTCTCCAGCCCCCTCTTTGGTTCTAGCAGTTGAAAATTTCCTTCTTCCCTTTCATGTTCAATGTACATGATCCATGGTTGAGTTATCCTTCTAATTGGGATAAGGAATCCACGACAGGGATTCCAGTGCCAATTATGGTGTTTGTAAAGTATATGAAAGTATATCCCCAGTGAATCGTAACCTGCACATCCCCAGACTCTCTCATAAGTTGAATGTCTTTAACAATGTAATCTATTTCTGACTTTTCACAAAGCTTGGCTATACTCTGTTCACCTGGGCTCAGGCACCACAACAACCACATGTAACACAGCTACAGTAGTTTTCTCTTGGTCGAAATACGACCCACTTCCCGTGCCGTATGTTGTCCGGCATTGCTCCGATGCTGGTTCAGACATGAACGGGTTAGACATCGCTGGAAAGTAGCCAATGGTGGCCACAGGACCCTACGTACGTATGTGCAGCATATCTTCCTTGCACGTAAATACACTTTGCAGTTGACGAGCATTGAATGTCGCAGTTTGTGCGTGCGCACGTTGTTCCAAGGAAGTCCTGTGACGTCTTCCTCGAATATGTGACATATAATTATTTTTAACGATATAATTATAATAATAGCATGGCGGGAGGATGCTGTTTTTATCTGTATAGGAAAGCGTATGTACTACGAGATATGATATAAAGTGTAGGATATGCATATCGTTGCGGGGATTTTATCCAGTGTGCAATGTGTATGATCCACAGCAGAATTATAGATTGTTTTATCTTGCGCAAGATTAAAAAAAACCTAAAACTTTGAGACAGATGGTGATAAACTTTACTCCTGAAAAAGGAAAACCTCTCTACAGTAGCAAATTGGAAAAACTGCATTCGCACATAATAAACATCACTGAAGGTTCCCCATCATTGCCCCCTTTCCCCCACCACACAAACATTTCTTAAGGAAGTTGAGATGAATTTTTTGGTAAATATAAACCTGCAACATCATAATTCAGATGTGTAGTCGAATTGCAGCCATCCACACTCTTGCTGGAGCTGAGACCATGTCCTGTGCTCTGCAAGGGAGCTGGCTGGCTTGCCAGGAAAGCCAGACACGGGGGGGTGTTAGTGGATGGATGAATCTCCATCCACTGACCCCTGGGATGAGCAAGATGGTGGACATGTTCACATTTATTCTATTACTTACCTTGTGGCTTTCCTTATATCCCTGTAGACATCGTGTTGGGTGTCTCCTGTCCCTTTGAAGGGCCAAGGGAGTTCTTATATATTCTTGAATAAACAACTGTCGCCTGCAGCGAGATGCATGGTCTGACTTACTGAGTAGAGAAAGCATGAACAAGAGGATCCCTATCTCCCCTGTCCGTTCTTTTAAGTTAGTCTTAGGGTAGTCTGCAAGAGACAAGTATTGTCTGAGCCCAGCCATCCACGCTCTTCCTGGAGCAGAGGCCATGTCCTGTGCTCTGCTGGAGAGCTTCCTGGCCAGGAAAGCCAGCCACGGGGTGTTAGTGGAGGGATGAATCTCCATCCACTGACCCCTGGGATGAGCAAGATGGTGGACATGCTCACATTTTTTCTAGTACTTACCCTGTGGCTTTCCTCATATATTATCCCTGTATATAGACATCATATTGGGTGTCTCCCTTCCCTTGGAAAAGCCAAGGCAGTTCTTCCAAATTTTTGAATAAACAACTGTCGCCTGCAGCGAGATGCATGGTCTGACTTACTGAGTAGAGAAAGCATGAACAAGAGGATCCCTATCTCCCCTGTCCGTTCTTTTAAGTTAGTCTTAGGGTAGTCTGCAAGAGACAAGTATTGTCTGAGCCCAGCCATCCACGCTCTTCCTGGAGCTGAGGCCATACCCACTGCTCTGCTGGAGAGCTTCCTGGCCAGGAAAGCAGCCATGGGGTGTTAGTGGAGTCCATCCACTTACCCCTGGGTACGCCCCTTGGGCCACTCCCATCAGTGTTTGTGCATGTGTGTGTGCATACTTGTGGCAGGACTCCTGGCTAGGAAGGCCAACCGCAGAATGTTAGATGAGGGACGAATCTCCATCCACTGATCCAACGAACTCAGCTGACCTACAAGAGATGGAACAGGAGAGGAAGACATGGAGTGGGTTGGGATCAGGAAAATCTGACTCACTTTGCTATCATCATTTCGGTCTCCATGTCAACGAAGTTAGCCTGCTGTTCTCCGTTGTACAGCAGACTACCTTCTATTATCTAAAAAGAATAATTATATTGGTAACTTATACAATTTGAAACGTTTCTTCGGCACCTTCAATGCCATCTTTGTCCCTGCTTCTGTCGTTATACCAAAGACCTCACAGAAAGTGCCCTCTCCTCCCAGCTTCTCAACATTGTCATAGCTGTATGCAATTATGAACATCACTGCCCCCTCTCTCTTACTGTTACGAGGCACATTACTCGCTAGTAATGAAGCTGGTGAGAGGTAGTGGCTCATGCTGGCCACAGAGAGCCAGGACCCTCTCCTGAGGTGTAGTAGTGGTGGCTATAGGGAAGGGTTGCTCTGGAGTAGCAAACACTGACCGTGCATAATGATGTCATACGGCAGCAATGTCTGTCTAGTAAAATCCTAATCAAGTTTCCTAATATCTTATGATTTCTACTGTTGAAACAGTCCAGCACTGCCCTGACGAAAAGGGTTTGCTGGACTACAGTGAGTGGGAGCAGCATAACAGAATTATTAGAGGATTGCAACATAATTATATTTGGCAAACAAAGCGAGCAGTTCAAATGTTCACACGTTTGACACATATTTTCTGCCTGGCATCAAACAGTAGTTTTCACTGACCACTTAGCCTTTTTCTGTGCTAAGTATAGCTACAGCAAAAAGATCCACATTTGAATATATAGTGCCTGCCAGCATGACTTTCCCCAATTCATTATATCTCAAACATAGTGTGAGTTCAGGCAATGCTATTTGAAGGACTGGTAGAACAAAGCTTAACTAAAGTTATGACGTAGTTTTAATTCAATTATGTTGCCATTGCAACGAGAACAATGGCCGCTTGCTCTTGTACTTCACATACACTTAGAACAGCATAGCTCCCAAACCGCTCAGGGAATTCCCCCAACTATTTTACACGCTATTAGCACTCCAAAAGGGTCAAGGCCGTTTCCTGGAAATGTACTCTCAATTAGACCAAAAAATATGTGACCCGCTACGGGAAAAGGGCCCATTTGACGCGCAAAATGTTTTCCGCGATTTTTGTACGAGCCTGCTGCTAAAAGCCTGCTCCGTATTATGACGCAATCGCAAATCGCGTAACGCGCTTCGCTTTCACGCTACACGCAGCGGTAGCGAGGTCGTCCCTAGAAACGGGAAAGGAGATATTGACCTCAAAGATCAACTTCCGGTCTAAATCTTTGTTTGTTTGTTTTTTGAGAAGTAAACGATACAATAGACAAGCAAAAAAAGCAAAAACAAAGAACAAACAAACAAATAGACAAAATACAACAACAAAAACAACAACAACAACAACAACAAAAAAACAACAAAGAAAAACGCTAAATAATACTGTCAATGTGCGGGGGAGGCGTTGGGCAACGGTGAAGCCACAGAGTTGCATTTCCTCTCCAGAGGCAAATAGCGCATCGTTGGAAGAGGTGACGGGTGGTTTCGGAGGGAGGTAAGCCCAGCCGCTGCCCTAGGAGCCGACCGATACTGGAGAGGGTTTTGGCAGCGAGATCACTCCAGCCTCCGAGAGACTCGACCAGGAGAGGGACAAACGACACTCCCACAGCCCGGCATGAGGCTGCGTGAAGGGCCATCTTCCTCTCTTCTCCTACTCTCAATGCGTGCCCTTGGACACTGGCTGCACCATTCAAAGTAAGCTGTTGCATAGTGGAAATGACGGAGACGTCAAGTGCGGCTGGACGACCTCTTTCCCAGTTAGGGAGGAAAATGTCAGCAGGGCGAGATTGGGAGCAGGGCACGAGAGATAATTCCGTATACGCGATCACGCGGCGCGCGCGTAACGCGATTACGTATAACTGACCGCGTAATTTTCTCCGTGGAATGCCCGGTAAAGGCTGGCCGCACGGGGAAGGTCTCAGGAAACACACGGCACTGTGCGATCCCTGAACGGCGCACGGAGTTTTTTTCTTCGCGAAAAGGTAGACAAATGATCGTAGTTTCTTGCTGTGTAGCCATTAAGGATATCATGATGGGTGGATTTTTCGCGTGTTTTGGCCGTTTACACGGGAAAATTATTTTGCGTCAAATGGGCCCTTTTCCCGTAGCGGGTCACATATTTTTGCATTTCCTAAGGTGTGGTATCACGTAAGCATTATGGAATTCACAGTTCTCAGAAGTGGCTCATATTGCTAAGTAAAATGCATGGTGTACAAAAAAAATTTCGCAGCATAGGTGATATAACACGTTTAAGTCCGATCTGGCTTAAATGTTTTCTGAAAATACTCTTTGGTGTGACTTATATACCTTAACTGCATCTTCCACAGCTTTTCCAGCCTTGTGGCCTTCTCTGTAGGCTTGCTCATAATCTCGTGCTTCCAGATGTTGTCTACGGTAACGG